TTACCTATAATAATATTTTTTCGTTAATTTATGAAAATATCAAATTAGCCCGTAATCCTGAATCCTGATACATAAAGTTAGCCTATTAATTTAACACAGGTACGACTGTACTCAGTGTTGCACTATCAAATGCAATTGACGCGCCACTATGCCAGGGTTTTTATGTTCCTGGTCAGGCTATACTTCAAATATGGGGCTTTAAAAATAATGACTTGAACATTTTGATGATTCCCAAGTAATTTTCAGTAATCATAACATAATCCTTAGTATGAATTTTGACAGATTGATAAAATTTTAAAACAAGCGAAACAATTATAAGTAGACAGATTTTTTGCACTCAGAAGTGGTTTTGACTAAAGCCCTTGGTCAAAACCACTTTTGATTGAAAAAATCAGTCAAAAGTGATATTAACCGAGGGCATCAGTCTAAACCACTTTTGACTGATTTTTGCAGTCAAAAGTAGTTTTGACCGATTAGGAGTTTTGATTGTAACACATACATACATATTCAGTAGGTAAACTACTACAAGCATACAGCGCATTAGGGGTCGCAATACCGAATCATTTTAGCAAAACCGGTATTTTCGGTATTGGCTCTAAACCAATACCGATAATCCGGTATTTTCGATATTTCCGGGATTAAGCTAAAGTTAGCAATATAACATATAACAAAATACTCATTGACACAAGGTTTATTGTTTGATATGTTGGTAATCAATCAGTTAGTTCTTTGCAATAATTTACTAATTCAACGATGTCTCTGTGATCAACTCGGTCAAAACAGGAAGCGATCACCGAATGGTGAGAGGCACAATGAATATCAGACCCAAGCTCGAAAGATGTCGACTGATGAAGTCTACGCTCCGCCCAGCGTCTATTCTATCCAACTCAAAAACCCCGAAAGCTTTCAGCTCGAATTGCAAAATCGTTTCGAATGCCTAGGAGACTGCGGAAATGTGGACGAATACAATGACAGGTTCGTGGAAATTTCCCAAACAACTGGGTCTAAGTTATTTAAAACCCGTCGTTCAAAAGGAACCAAAAAGATCTCTGACCTCACCAATCAACTCATGGAAGAGAGACGGAACTTGGTTCTGCAGTCCTCTGAAGACTGCAGTCCTCTCCTACAGAAGTGTGGTGATACTCTTCTTCAAAAAAGGCGACAAAACCTTGTTGAAGAATTATAGACCCATCTCACTTCTGAGCCATGTCTACAAGCTGTTTTCAAGAGTCATTACGAATCGTCTCGTTCGAAGGCTCGACGACTTCCAGCCTCCCGAACAAGCTGGTTTCCGAAAAGGCTTTAGTACCATAGACCACATACATACGCTAAGGCAGATTATACAGAAGACCGAGGAGTATAATCAACCACTTTGCCTGGCGTTTGTGGATTATGAGAAAACCTTCGATTCGGTCGAGACCTGGGCAGTGCTACAGGCCCTCCAAAGGTGCCAAATTGACTATCGATATATCGAAGTGTTGAAAAGTTTATAAAAATACGCCACAATGTCGGTTCGCCTCCAGGATCGGGACTCCCACCTTCGATTCGCCGACGATATCGTAGTTATGGCTGAGACCTTGGAAGATCTAGGCACAATGCTCGATGGCCTCAGTAGAACCTCTCAACAAGTGGGCCTCAGAATGAACATGGACAAGACAAAAATCATGTCTAATGTCCGTGTTGAACCCACTCCTCTGAAGGTTGGAAACTCTACACTCGAAGTTGTTGACAATTATGTATACCTGGGACAAACAGTCCAGTTAGGTAGGTCCAACTTCGAAAAAGAGGTCAATCGTCGAATACAACTCGGATGGGCAGCGTTCGGGAAGCTTCGCCATATACTCACGTCCGAAAGACCGCAGTGTCTCAAGTCAAAAGTTTTTGACCAGTGTGTGTTGCCAGTGATGGTATACGCATCTGAGACGTGGTCGCTTACTATAAGCCTCATAAGAAGGCTCAAGGTCACCCAAAGGGCGATGGGGCGGGCTATGCTCGGAGTTTCCCTGCGTGATCGAATCAGAAATGAGGAGATTCGCAGGAGAACCAAAGTAACCGACAAAGCTCGCAGAATTGCTAAAATCAAGTGGCAGTGGGAGGGGCACNGCGAAGCCGGGTTTTCATCTAGTGTATTAATAAGTTTGTCCTTATTATTATAATTAACGTGAAAATTATAGAAATATCAAAGAAAAATCCTTGCGTTTCAAACTTAGAGCTTAGATGAGACTTAATTAATTCAATAAGTTCTTATTTTTAATTAATTGTCTTCGTCATTTGCTAATGCTACGAGCAGGTAAGGAATATGCAAACATTTTTCATGCCCGAAGAGAGCAGGTGAAATTTTTCCACCTGTCTTACTTCTCACCTGGATACCAGGACATAAGGAAGCTGCAGGAGTAAACGGGAATTTTCACGTGGGCTCCGTTTTCAGGTAAACCACGCACACATTTACAATTCTACGGTGTCACTAACGTGCACACCTTGGAAAATCACCGCGGTGAGAGTGAGTGAGACGGGATATTGTTTTTCTTTCACCTTTGGGGTTGGGGAAATGCGAGGGTCGTAACGCCCACATTTTCACGCACACATGGCTTCCTACTAGACTCATTCAGGTGAGTGTTGTAGTGTGCGTGTCTCAGGTAGTAGCGTAGCTCCAGGTGACTGTTGCGGCCCTGGTACACAGGTGCGCAGTGAGACAGGTAAGTTCTACCTGACACTTCGAATCGTTCAGGTGAAAAGGAGACACCGGCATCGTGATAATTGAAGCGATAGAAATGTTTCTCTCGCAAACAAATCGACCTTACCTTTCCGAAATTAATTAGGGCTTTTGTACCTTTTGTGGTAAAAGTGTGAGAATTTAGCTACGAATTAGTTATCTTTTAAAAGATAAATGAGAAAGTTAATTTTCGTAAGGGATTCTTAAAACATTTATTAAAACAATGACAATTTGCGTCAATATTGGCAGGTGAAATCTTTTCATTCTATCGAGTTTTCCGCGGGGAAATTTTCGATAATGTGGGGGAAAAGTACCAGGCGGGCATGAGTCGCAAGGAGGTTGCGCGACACCGATCCGGGTCTCCGTGCCCGGGAGAGGACGTATTTAAATAAAATAATAATCTCCGACCAGGCTCTCAGAGGTACCGAGGAGGTGTATCATAGAAGTCTACTAGTACGGACTTCAAGGATATTGTAGTTGTAGTGGAAAGTATAGTAAGATGTACAAGGCTCGCAGGAACCGCGCGGAGTTGTTTGTAGAAGTTCTAGTACTAGGTCGGCGAATTCCCAGAATTTGTTGGTAAACATAATATTATTATACATAGCTCGTAGCTCTACTTACGTAGTATTCAGTGGCTGTATTTTGTGCTGACAATAGTAGACGAGTTTGAGTTGTCGAGGGGTCATTCCATTATCGCGGGTGCAACATTTAGACGCCTGTTTTAGTTTAACCTAGGTAAAAGGACAAAAGCTTTTAAAATATCATATTAAAATTTTTGTTAATTAATATAAAGTAAACCTATTAAAATGTAGTCTTTCATATAAATTTAATTTAATTAGGTTAAACTAAAACAGTCGTCTAAATGTTGCACCCGTGTTAATGGAATGATCCCGAGGTGGTTTAAAGCTTCGCAATCGTAGACACGCATACAAGCCACCCCAGTGGATTCCATATTTTGTTATTACTGATTTCTCATGCAGACGTATAACCCCCAAAAGTGTCTATTGCTTCCACTTGACGCCGTTTTCTATAGTGGTGTAGCGTGTCAGCAACAAGAAGTGTCTACGGTAGCGTAGCCTTTTAATGTTAAAATATATTGGGACACACTAACGTTACATACGTTAGTGAAAATACATGCATTTTTTGCACTACATCTCAAATCAATTTTGTATCGTTGGTTGTCGGGACACCTAGAGGGACACGCCCGCTGACGTCACGGCGTGCGTCTTTTATTTACCTTTACAGAGTTACATGATCCTTCAGAAGAGACTAATGCCCGTTTTCACCATCAATCCCTAATTTTTAAGTGACCCCTATTAAAACAAAATTCCTGTTATGTGTTACCATAGGGATCACTTAAAATTAGGGATTGATGGTGGAAACGGGCATAAATGACCTAATGATAATTTACACTCACTTGTACCCGTACCGCTGGTTGTAGAGTTAGAGAGTTACATGATCCTTCAGAAGAGACTAATGCCCGTTTTCACCATCAATCCCTAATTTTTAAGTGACCCCTATTAAAACAAAATTGACGATATGTATTATGTGTTACCATAAGTGACGATAATAACTCACTTGTACCCGTACCGCTGGTTGTCCCCGCAGCCGCCCCACACCCACTCGTCCCGCAGGTGGCTGGGACGCGGCGCGCGGCTGCACCCGCAGCTGGACAGCCGCCCGTCCCGGCACGCCCGGGACACCCAGAGGGACACCCCCGCTGACGTCACGGCGTGCGTGAACGCGGTCTCTCTTGATGCTGTTGGATATAAAAAATCATTGGTAGTGGGCACTCTACTCAAATGAAATGTTTTTTACAAGCTTTATATTATTGACGTCGCTTGTTTGTTAGTGTGGGACAAATCTTGCAACTGAATTTAAGACCAGTTCTCCTGAACCGATTGAGCTGAAATTTTTTTAGCTGTTAAAACGCGACTCTCCTGCCACTAATTTTGTTTATAGCAAAGAGAACAAGAAAGAAAGAACTGATTCTATCATAACTGCCCTCTCTGTAAGTTCTCTGGAAAAGATCGCTTCACGAGGCCGCGTAAATTGATCCATTTATTGATTTATATGTCTTTACTTTTCGTGTACAATAGTGTTTTATATAAGATCTATAATTTTTAAGGCAGCTAGGTAAACTTCAAATTTTACTGCCAATTGAAAGTTACTTTTTGGTGGATTGTATTCACAGTATAAATTCAAATTAAATCGCACGATGTGTGACTGTTATAAATAATACAGTCCAGAAAGATAAATCTAACAATCAGGAAAACTGGAACGAAATACATTTTCTTAGATTGTAGAGATATTCAAAATGCAAGTGTAGTAGCTGTCACTATAAATCACTCCAGAAGCTTTTAAGATATATCCCTTGTAGAATATTTAAAACTTAGTTTCCAACTTTCCATTCTTCAATTTGGGTCACAATCCAACTTGCCTCACCCTTAAACTGAAGAATTTGATGCACGCTGAAAGAACCAGATGGCGTTAGTAGATCTATGACTAGTAATGACTACACGGTAGCATTTGCTTTTGTTTTTCATTTTAATTTTCAAAGCTAAGTTAATTTTGTAATTTTCATTTTGAAATTGTCACTATTCAACACACAATTTCTCTAAAAGAAAACAAAATTACAAACCTGAAAACTCAATTAGTTCTAAGTTAACGGTAAAACAATGTTTATTGGCTTTAACATTACAGTTAGGCATTGAGTTCACGAAAAAGTGACGTCATGTCTGTAATTTGCTTTATTTATTAGTACACTTGGATTAACTACGCATAGTGAACAAAACATAATTGGATCTCGAGTACAAAACAAGATTGTGATAGCAATATTTTTCTCGCAGTAAGAAGTACTCGTATAGTCTAGGACGTTTCCTCGAGAATAAGGATATAATATTTCAAGGAATAACGATATTATTTTTCATTGCGTCACGCTAGCGTAGTGCCTAACGATATTTTTATTGTTTTATTCCGATAAGGGATTAGGGAAAGACACGGTATATCGAAATGTTACAAATCTCAGAGATAAATCTGTGAGTCTGTGATTTGTAATAGACACTATTGCAATAATACGAGTAGGTATGTATTATCCATTTCATTTAATTAAAAGCAAGAATTGGATATTATGCACAACCATCTGGTCTTAAACTAAGCATAAATTACTTACTATGGACTTCGTCTGTACCAAACAATTGTTAGGTACCTACCTCTGTACATACTTTTTATACCTTCTAATTTTTAATTAACATTTTAATTTATTCGCTTAGGTATTATGACTCAATTCTGCTCTATCTACGACATGTAAGTACCACCGCATTATATCTCAGTGAAACCATTAAACGAAAAATAGAGAAATAAATAATTAAAAATGTTTCACAGGGCTGCTGCTATAAAGATTTAGCATAAATATTTTCCGAGTATCAATATCCCAATTAGATATATTTTAAGATAGGTATCGCTACGATGGAAAATTGGTCCTCCTACAACACTAATGTCAACGCTTTGTTACGTTTAAGAGAATTTATCGCAGTTTTATCTTTTACATGCCAACAATAGTTTAGCTTCTTATTTTCTTAGAGACAATCCTTGAAGGAAAAATACTTTATCCTAAAAATAGACGCTTTTGTTTCATCTTGTAGGAAATTTAGCCTCTTCGATTCCCTGCCTCACTCCAGCACTGATGATCGGCATGTGGTCCCTTTGACTTCGGCAGACGCGTCATCTAGCAATACTTACTATTTTTATGATTAGTAGGTATGTTCTTACCTATCAAAGTCAAGGGCCCAAAGACCGTGCCATCTCCCGTGATAGTACAGTTCCATCGCCTCTCTCTAAACTGGTGCTGGCACTCTTCGATCCCCTGTCTCACTCCAGCACTGACGATCGGCATGTGGTCTCAGTGCCTTTGGCAGACGCGCCTAGGAGGATTGGAAGTTCTTACCTATCAAAGTCAAGAAGAGCCCAAGTCTCCCGTAATTTCCCTTAACTGGTACTGGCACTCTTCAATCCCCTGATTGACTCCACACTGACGACAGACATCTAAACCTTCATCAGACGCGTCTCTTGCTAGAGAGAATAAGTACTATGTTCTTACCTATTAGAGTCAAGGGCCCAAACACCGTCCCATCTCCCGTGATAGTACAGTTCCATCGCCTCTCTCTAAACTGGTGTTGGCACTCCTCGATCCCCTGCTTTACTCCAGCACTGACGACTGGCATGGGTGCCCTCTCAGACGCATAACATTTTTCATCATAATTTAGTTTGGCATAACAGTATTTGCATAAAGTTTTTTCGCATAAACTTTGATATGCATAGTTTTCTAAATGCATAATGGTTTCTTAGGCATAATAATAACTTTCTCTAATTTTCAGTACCATAATTTAAATGTATGTAACAAATTGTTAATTGTTAATAATTATGTTCTTTATATTTTTTATGTATAACATTTTTATATTTCATATTTGTTAAAATTATGGTACTTTGTATATTATGAATGGTAATATTTATGGCATTGGTTTAGATGCCAATAAATGTTATGCCTAGAAATCGTTATTAAAAAAACAAGAATGCAAAAAAAATATATACTAAAATATTATTATAATAAAAGTGGTTATGGCAAAAAAAAATATGCATTATGATTTATTCTGTATGAACGTTATGCGAAATGATGAGTATGCCAAAAAACTTTATGCACTCTTAAATTATGACAATATTTTTTATGCAACCGAATATGGACCCGACTGGCATATGGTCTAAGTGCCTTTGGCAGACGCGCCTAGGAGGATAGAAGTTCTTACCTATCAAAGTCAAGAAGAGCCAAAGTCTCCCGTAATTTCCCTTAACTGGTGCTGGCACTCTTCGATCTCCTAATTTACTCCAGCACTGACGACAGACATTTATACTTTCATCAGACGCGTCTCTTGCTAGAAAGGAAAGTACCTACTATGTTCTTACCTATTAGAGTCAAAGGCCCAAACACCGTCCCATCTCCCGTGATAGTACAGTTCCATCGCCTCTCTAAACTGGTGTTGGCACTCTTCGATTCCCTGCTTCACTCCAGCACTGACGACAGGCATGTGGTCTCTGTATCTTCAGTAGACACGCCTCTGGCCTGGTAGGATTAGTATGTTCTTACCTATTAGCGTCACGGGCCCAAACACCGTCCCATCTCCCGTAATGGTACAGTTCCACCACCTCTCTCTAAACTGGTGGTGGCACTCCTCGATCTCCTGTTTCACTCCAGCACTGACGACAGGCATGTGGTCTCTGTATCTTCAGTAGACACGCCTCTGGCCTGGTAGGATAAGTATGTTCTTACCTATTAGCGTCACGGGCCCAAACACCGTCCCATCTCCCGTGATAGTACAGTTCCATCGCCTCTCTCTAAACTGGTGCTAGCACTCTTCGATTCCCTGCTTCACTCCACCACTGACGATCGGCATATTATGGTCTCTATACCTTCATCAGACGCGTCTCTTGCTAGAGAGGATAAGTACTATGTTCTTACCTATCAGAGTCAAGGGTCCAAACACCGTCCCATCTCCCGTGATAGTACAGTTCCATCGCCTCTCTCTAAACTGGTGTTGGCACTCTTCAATCCCCTGTTTCACTCCAGCACTGACGATCGGCATGTGGTCTCTGTGGCGACGGCAGACGCGCCTCTGGCCAGGCGTCAGGCCGCGGATCCTGGCGCAAAGCCTGGACTTCTCGGCGAAGAGGTCCCGGTGCGTCCACTTTTCGAAGTCTAGGAGACCCATGGAGCTGGAAAAAGGTTTTAGGTTTTTAATAATGGTTATAGAAGTCCCTATGTTATATTATGTTATATTAGGGCTTTTGCAAACTGTAGCTGGTTTCTCAGCGCTTGTCGGTAGATAAGAACTATAGGTACATTAGCGTCTACTAGGTATACGAGTGAATCCAACATCCAATATGCACTCAAATTCTAGGGTTAATCATTTGATAGCTCTACTTTTTACTTTAGAACCCTTCTGCTATTCTTCTTCTGATTTGATCTAAGATATTGTAATCACGTAGGTAGGTACGAAGCTTTATAATAATTACGCAAAATTGTTTAGTTACAAATGTCGCCTTCCCTGCAATTAGCTATCTAAAACCCAGAATCAAATAAACTGTGTAAATTTATTATCGGTCTAACCAGAACTTATTCATATCTTTGTAAATCTTTATTAAGTTCAAGTTTGGAATCTGATCCCAAATAATATTACAAATAGCATCGTTTAGTAAACGTCGCTATAATATAATAATAAAATACCCCATTATGAAGTTAATAAATGTACGAACTGTCAACTTGAGTTATTTACGAATGCATTTTGACCTCACTCTTGATAATAAATGGTCTAACTCTAAATTAACCACAAGACGTGATTTTTTGTGGTTAAGTATGACAGTATAGATAAATCTCTACATCTCTAAATATCTTTTTCTACATTTGAATTACCTAATATAGTGACCTAAGCATAATAATGCAGGTTAACTGGGCTAATTTTTGAAGATCCTATGTAACATGTGGTATAGCAATAGCACCCTAAAGAATTTGAATTTGAATATGATATAGTTTGAACTATGGGTACTTCTTTGGATATAAATAAACAAACAACTATTATTTAAATAATGTAACTTCTGTGACTCCCTGAATTTTGTCCCTAGAGGGATTTGAACTAACAAGCAAGTTGCCTATTAACAAATGGCGGTGATAATGTAGGTAAATTTTTAAGCAGCATTATCTATCTTTTCGTGTATTTAACAATTAACAAATCTTTCAACTTTACCTGTTTTTATTTGGGTTACACTGAGGAAATGTTTATTCAGCGATTGTGTCAGACTGTCATGCTGTGCAAACATATTGTATTTAGTTAACGATTTCATTTATCGTTATTCTAGATATTGTGCTTCATTGCTAGAGCAAATATTGACTCATTGATGACTGTATTGTTAGAGTGCGCTTACCTCTTTTAATTTATTGAAAGAATCTATACTACTAGATATGTATTGCAAAATTAAAATTCAAAACTTCTCTCTGTTGTGACGCCTGGATTACAGAACCTGATAAAAATTTTAGTAGGTATAGAGTCAGTTTAAGGAAAATCAAACACCTAAGCGCCAACTTGAAGCCTAATAGACTGACAGAGTTATTTGGAGCACTTACTATATTATTAATTGTACTACATATTTTTAATATTATCATTTTTCATTCCCTATTATTATTATCCCCTATACACTAGTATTATATTGTCTGTGCCTATACTTACTTATTAAATCAAGATTTATTTTTTCAAAATGTATCGCTGTGTAAACGTAACAGATAGAGTTACTGTCATAGAGCACTATATTTTTATCCATACCCATAAGATGCTATTGTCTGAAAACTATGTTTTGTTCTTGAAGATATGAGGTGAGTAGAATGCTATTATAACTCTTAACGTAACTACAATGGTACGAGGGCAAATAATTATAATAGCGATAAGAAAATCAAACCGTATTCTTAAATTATAAAGATTACATATTGTGAAAATTTTTGTACATTTGTTGACTTTTGAAACAATGTTATTCAGTTATTTCAGTTTCAGATTATTCAAGTAGTTGTTAATGTCCTTGTTAACTTGACATTTAAATGTTAATTAATTAATTTACATATTCGAGATAACAGGGAATCCTAATACTAGTAGGTACCTAATGGTTTTGTTTGAACAAAAGAAATGTTAAAATGTATTCGAAAACTTTCCTATGTTGTGACATCACTGTGGAAAAACAGTGTTCTTTTCTATTTTTTTTAAAGAAACTTTGATGAAAACCTCAAAAGATAAACTCAGCGTGTTAAGTGTGATTTTTCAATTGTCGAATAACTATTAGGTAAATCAAGAATTGTAACATTCACAGTTTCATTTAGGGAAAAGTTAAAATGACAAGTTTATTCTTCGGTTAGAAGATATCTGACGATTGAAAAATCAACCCTTAATTAAATTACAAACACAATTTAGATCGAAAATAATTTAATACTGCAATAAATATAAAATCACTATGATATTTGGCACCGTATCACAACAAAGTACTAGGCGAGCATCACTACTTAGGAGTTCAGTATCGTCCGTAGATGGTCACTGTGAAGTTGAAACCGTAGCCTCTTTGGCTCTTGAGCTTGATCTTGACAAATCTTTGTCCTACGCCTCCAGCTGACACGGTAGGGTATCCCCCGGTGCCGTCTCTCACGTTGTCCTTTATGAAGATAGCTCTGATGTAAGCAAAGTTGGTTTGTCCCGCCTCTGGGTATTCAATGTCGCTTTTCCTGACCATCAAAGGGAATCCGTATTTGTATTCGTTCACTTTGTATATCACGACATCTCCGTACGTTGCTTGGCCCAGAGCCAGGTCGTGGCTCTGGCAGTTGTAGGCAGCGATGAGGCAGAAAATCGACAGGATTGTTAAGGCACGCATCTTGACGTCGGTCGTTCGTTACTGAGGTGCTAATTGCGTGGCGTTGTTTTATATGCGCGGAGCGGGTTATGCGAGAGTGTGACAAGTTAAGCGCGGGAAATTTTGTGATAAGGAAAATGGTCGAATTTTTTTGGGCGATATTAGATCATGCATGGACGACGTTTTACATAAATACCGGTATCTTATGTGGTTGTAATAAGAACGATTTTCCAAAAAAATATGTAATGTTTTTAGATATTACTAACCATCTAATTGAGTTATAATGATTGCAGCGAAACTTTATCAATCGGTTCCTCTTAATGGACTTAGTGATTATGCGCGTTTTCGTAGCATGAAATTTCTTAGTTTAAGAAAAAAATTGTTATTGAAAGTTTCAGCCTTTATTTAGAAAATTAGTTTTTAAAAAGTTTTCTTATAGGTACTGGTCATGGTAATCTCTAACATAACATTGTCATTTGTAAGTAACAAATATTTAAACTTGTTATCGTTAAAACACCGACGCGGGAGCGCCACAAAGTCAATGTGACCAAACAAAATACTTCAAGAATTAATAAGCTATGCAGGAAAGTAGTTTTCTTTCCTCTTTGTTATTTTGTGAGCTGTAATGTTGATTTTATGTGACGTAAAAGCATTTCCAAAAAACAAGACACTATCCAACTATTTAAGTACAAATTGGATTTTCCGTTATCACTACAGGCTTTCAGTGCCCAAGGCACCTACTGAAAATCAGTGTCCTGAAATGCTCCTGAATCGTCAGGATATTATGCTGAGCAAGTGTTCCTTTTGGCATATTTTATTATATTTACATATACATTATATTATATATACATTCTATTTTTCTTTTATGTTTCATTTGGAAAATCATCTTAAATGTTTGACATTTGTAGAGTTTAATCACTACTTATTACACAGAAGCGTCATTAGTCAATAATTCTTGTTCAAAATAAATGGCTTTTTATAGTATTTTGCCATCCACAAATCAAACATGAACTTGCTTCAAAGTCAGGGCCAAAGAAATATTCAGATTCAATAAAGAAATAATTTATTAAATTATATCTACTAGTTATTATCATTTTCCGGCATGATAATTATGGGAAACTTATTTCCTGTAATTATGTTGCGGTTATTAAATTGTGTTACTTGTGTGTTCCAGCAGTGGACGTCATTTGGCTGAAACGAACGAAACGACCTGTGTTTTAGAACAATCTTATGTTAATCAAAGTAACTTTCATTGATAAGGATTTTTCAATCGTCAGATTATTTTTTAACTGAAGAATAAGCTTGTTATTTTGATGTATTTCCCTTACTGAAACTGTGAAAGTGCCAAAGTTATTTTTCTGTTAAGAGTTATCCGACGATTGAAAAATCTGCCCTAAATATCTTTTGGCGTAAATAAAAATGGGTAAATAAACGACAATGTGCAAAAATTTTTTTGTATTATAGGGAGGGATAACCACTGTGCAAAATCGATTGCTAATTCCGGGCATTCTTGTGTTTTTTAACTCTAGTATTCGCTTTTAAAGTTATTTAAAGTTATTAAAACACTGATTATCGCATACACCTATCCACTGTGCACACACTGCAAGACGTATCGCTCCTGTCACGAGATGGCGCTCGTCACAGCAAACAAATTGTCACAAGTTTCCGTAATGTAACCAATAATATTAGTTCGGTACATATTAGGATAAAAATAAGCTAGTCAAATTTAACTTTTCCAAAACACGTTTAACGAAGTACCAAAAATAATACAGATATTTTCTAACGAAAAAACTTCGAATTATATAAGTTAACTAGCTGTGCCCGCGACTTCGTACGCGTGAAAATCCGTTTTCGCAACATTTTTCATTATTGCTCTGCTCCTATTGATAGTAGCGTGATGTTGTATAGCCTATAGCCTTCCTCGATGAATGGGCTATCTAACACTGAAAGAATTTTTTAAATTGGACCAGTAATTCCAGAGATTAGCGCGTTCAGGTAAACAAACAAACAAACTCTTCAGCTTTATAATATTAGTAGATTTAATTCGAAGTCCTTCTAGTCTAGGTAACTAAAGGTATTCTTCAGATTAAATTCGTCGCGAGTTCCAAGACAATAAGCTAGGCTATCCTCTGGGAATACCTACTCATCTTTCACTGGTTGGGTTTCGTTGGAGCCCTAACAGTTTCTGGCTATACAGAAATTGCAGTGATGGGAACGAGGGATTAGTCTTGAAACCGAATAAATCGTAGATTAAAATGGTACAGTTTATTTACTTCGTTCGTTTCAGCCAAATGACGTCCACTGCTGGACAAAGGCCTCCCCCAAGGATTTCCACAATGACCGGCCCTGCGCTGCTCGCATCCAAGCACTTCCCGCGACCTTCACCAGATCGTCAGTCAGTCGGGTTATTTACTGCATGTTTTGTTTATAATGCAAACTGAAGCGTCAGTTGAATGGAAGTGTCGATAAACTGAAAACTTGACACAAACCAATACAGAAGATCAAGTAACAGTTTTTTTGTAGAAATGTAATTACCTATTAGGTAACTCAAGAATTTGCATAAATTGTAGGTACTTTTGCGTATTAGTTTGTTGCATTACGTCGCTGTCGGAAGTTTACCTAATGCATTCTACCCACCAAACCCGCTGATTCGTCAACAAGAGTCGTCAAAAAAAGAACAAGTCGGCTTGCTATGTAGAGTCACAGGTCACAGTAGAGTCCTTAAGTAGGTCTTTGTCAATGTTTTCACAACAGTACCTACCTACAGTACAGCATGTAAATAACATGATAATAAATCAATTGTGAATCACAGTGAGATGAAATGATTCGACCTTATTTAATTATCTAACTGTAAGAAATTCTGCGCAGTAAGTATGGTATGTGTCATACGGAGAATTGTAATGTTCTTATTCAATAATAATATTATAATGGAGTAATGATTAAGAAAACCATCTATTGTGATGTTAAAGAACTCGGCACTTTCCTCAAATGATGTCACCAAAGACAACGAACCAATGTCACAATCACAAGTAGTGTTATCCTTTATGTGGGTTTCCCCTTATAAATAGGATAATGTTAAAGTTAATGAAAATGTGAATCATAATTTGAACTAAACCTGGATTTAAGCTGGTAGTCTAATTCGTAGCTCAACATGAAAATTAGGTTCCATTTAGATATCATAACTTAGGTAGGTAACACATAGGTTAGTTCATATCGTAAAACTTAAGGTAAGGTAATGAAATAAAAAAACTGTTTAAGAATTTAAAACTTTACTCATCTCATCTTTAAACAGCCACAAAATATAAAAAATCACAAATCACAGTATTATTTACTATCAGTCCAATCAATATTTCACCGGGTACTGTACTGACGCGTCGAAAACTGGCAAGGCTCCTCCTTTACTATAGTAATATCTGGCGTTGGGATCACTGGCGTACACTTCAATTTCGAATTTATACCCTCGCAGAATCGATGGACTCTTTAGCCTCACCGTGACACTCTTGGTCCCAACTCCGCCGCTCTCTATGTATGCTTCTCCATCCTTGTCATCCCTCAAATCCGTGACGTACACAGCTGTGATAAGCTCATTTCCAGGAGCATTGATTATGACGTCATCTGTCCTGGTCCACAACGCGGGATTTGCCTCCTTTATTTCACTGTAGATCTTCTTCGATTGAGGCTGAACGTAGCCTATTCTTATATCGTTGCATTCTGCAACTGACAGGTATACTATTGTCAGAATCGCTATTGTTTTGAACATTTTCACTTTGATCTAAGAGGAGCAAGTCTCAAATAAACTTGTCTTCATCTGTAACGCCTTATATATCATGGAAATTAGTCAGCAAATTAGCAAAGCCATGAGATCACAGCACCTATTCATGTTATTCTTCGCAGTTTACTGCTAAAGGCAATTCTGTATAGTTCATTTAGTGTGATATATTGCTTAATTTTACGAGGAAGTCACGTTGGTTCAACTGATTTACTATTATTGGTTGCTGTAACGTCGAATCTGATGTCACTATGCCCATTCAGGTACTCGTAGTCTCTTCTCACTGTGTCGCTAATTACTTTTTCAAATAAATCGACGATGGATTTCCAACTGACTGATCTATTTTGATAGTAATCTCAGTCCAGCATACTCGTCTGAATCTACAATGGCGTTGAATATTCTATCAATAATTTGTTTGCTTTTCGTTGGGACGTGGTCTCACGATTTGTACTTGGGGTATCCAGATGCGAGTTCGAAATTGATCTATAGTAAGATTCACCAAGAGAATCCGGCGATTTGGGTGCGATCAGACACTTTTAGCGTGAACTGCTCGAATAATGAAGTCATCAGTGCGATTGCCATCAAGGATTTGAGGGAAGACAAGTGGGGAGAAGCGTATGTCAAATCAGGAGGTATTGGGCAGAGATTTGTGACGATTGAGCTGGACAGCCCCTCGGTCTTCCGCGGATTCAACTATTGGGTCGAAGTGTACGCTATTCAATCGAACTTTTACTTTAATCGTAACGGTAAGAAGTGATCTGAAGTGTATTTAATAAGTATGTTTATAATAATTAAGATTATTGGCAGTAACATGTAATAACGTTTAATGTATCTCTGCGGTTTGTTGCACCTAGGTAGTTGAGAACTGTGTTACTAAAATTAAATTGTTTGTTTATTGTTTTGATGTTTAATTTCATCTCGATTGAATTCAGCACAATATGGACTTATTAATGATCATAATAATTCATATCATTAATTTCTAAGGGCTGATTTTTCAATCGTCAGATAAATTTTAACTGAAGAATAAGTTGACACATTGACAGTTTCAGTATGGGAAATATGTCAAAATGACAAGTTTATTCTTCAGATAAAAGATATCTGACGATTGAAAAATCAGCCCTAAGTGAAAAAAATTGAGGAGTTAGGTCATCCATTTAAATGTTTTCAATTTACCAGAATTTTTGGTAGAGAATTTACCTAGAATTGTTTTACAAATATTGAACGTTGAATTGGGATTTCCCTCACAAAGTAAAGTATCTTACATTATTTTATTTTTTGGTAAACTTCACGGACTGATATTTTTTCATACTGCGTCACTCGATTAATTTTGTTTAGCCTTGATGATTCACGTAACGTCCAGTTATTTATGCGGTGTCGTGTAAAATTGTCAAGCTAAATGATATTGCCAAATGTTTACTTAATTTACTTATCGGCAAGGAAATACATCTAAGTAAGTAATTGCCTTTGTACAAATCTTATGGAGGATCGTAATTGGTGTGTTTTTTAAAGAATATTAGTGACTAGCGGCCGCCCGCGACTTCGTACGCGTGGATCCCGTTTTACCCCCTTAGGGGTGGAGTTTCGTTAAAATCCTTTCTTAGCGGATGCCTACGTCATAATATCTACTTGCATGCCAAATTTCAGCCCGATCCGTCCAGTAGTTTGGGCTGTGCTGATCACTATGTCAGTCAGTCACCTTTGAGTTATTATATTTAGATTTCCCGTCAACCTCTCGTGGTAAGCTAAATAAATATCTTTGTGTTGTGAGTGTGTTCGAACTTAGATCGAACCCGAGTTCCTCGGATCACGAGTCGGGCACCTTCACCATTCAGCTATTGTTGCTTACAAGATCATCGTTTATTGCTAGAACATTTTTATCAAGGGTTCCATTCCCAAGAAAGGTATGCAATGCAATGTCATCATCATCATCATTTCATCCATTGGACGTCCACTGCTGAACATAGGCCTCCCCGAATGATTTCCACAATGGCCGGTTGGTGGCGGACGCAAAGTGGATATGTGGTTTTAATCAGTTTATGTTTCCTTGTGAGCTTTGGCTTGAAGTCTAGACATCACGGGAAATAACTTTTTCCATTGCTTCAAAAGATCAACAACAAAATACACGATAGCTCTTATTACAATCGCGATAAAGTCCATAATCTTGCGGTCAAATCATTCACACATTGTATGACCTCTTTGCAGCCTTGTGATTATACGAGTTGGCATAGTTGAATTCCTTGATGTGTGAGGCATAGAGTTCAAGATTGCTTGTAGTTTTACAACTCAAGATGGAAGTGATCTTGATGCGTCAAGTATGTGTTTTAAACAATCGTTAAGCTGGGTTTACATGACAGCGGAATTTTCGTACAATTTCCAACTTTTGATAATGATAGATTTAAAACTTAAAACCAAGTAATTATGACAGATAAGTGTGACAGTGTAAGTTGCAATGAGTGCTATTTTCTCTCTACATTTCAATATACATATTATATTCCTTTAGCATTTTAAGTGTTTTCATTCAAAAAACCACTTTGAGTTGAATCTTGAATCAAATTAATAAGATACTGAATTACTGCTGGCTTTATGTCTGTCTTCTCCCTGGGATATCTGGAACATTCTGGAAGAGAACGCTTCTTAACAATAAGACCGCCTAAATTAGACCTTTCAATTTTGTATTCTTTTACTTCTCGGTTTTGTGCAGTGTTCAATAATGAGTAGGTACATCTGTCTATAAGATTCCATCTAATAAACTAATGCTCTGTAAACCTCATTTAAGTTCGATAAACTAATTAGACCTCGACATTTGACACCGTCAGTACGACTGTATCTTTCGAGTGAGCGCCTCGCACTAAACGAACATGTTTACGAAATATATTTTACTTTTCTGTGCCTTAGTAACTCTAGCACAGTCGAAATCGGTCTCCGTGGGCTTGACAAATGAATCGACAGGCCTCGTGAGACTGGTAGGATCGAAAAATGTCCAAAGAAACTCCATCCCCTTCTTCAAAAGAACAGATGAGGAGATATTTGAACTTGAAGGCAACAACATCATCAAAGGCATCGCTATAAAGGATTTGGACGAAGGAATGGCTGAGCCGTCCATTACTTTGGGAGGGCTGGGGTTTAACAATGTACATATCAAGCTGAAGAGTGAAAGGGGGTCGGGATATAATTTTCAGATTGAAATATACGCGTGAGGTTTTGTATTGAAATGTGTGTTGGTGTATTATTGTGTTTGTTCAATAAATGTGCTAAGTTTGTTTGTGTATTATTTCTTTCTATTTGGCCTTCCCGACTCGTCTGGCCAGCGTGGAGAGTGTAGACCAAACATCAATATTTTCCTCTGGTAAATTAGAGTGGGTCGTGTGCGTGCTTGTTTATGGAATTTATATCACCTGATGATAATTTATATTGATGACAACTTCATGATTCAAATAAGTGGTGTTCACACTAATAATTTTAAATTAATACAATTCTGTTGTAATATGCGCTATACAACTTTATGTTCAGTAAATTAATAGTTGCTTATTAGCTTGTTTTTCAATGCCATTTTCGATATTCACAAACTCTATTCCTACTGGATTCAAGTTTTCTGAAAGAAACTCGTAGAAAACCCCCTGTAATAAGATATTATCGTAATCAAATGATTCGAGGACCGTTTATTTCTAGACCTTCAATCAAGGCATCAAGATTCTAAAAAATATTTTGCCACTGACTTATTGACAGATAGATCACGTTATTATAATAACTGTTGTTACTCACTCTAGTATTGATGTATCCTGACCTTACAACCTAAGGAAAATCACAGATAACCCATGTAAACTCCGCCTTAGGTTCCGATAAGCATTCGAGACATTTGACCTCACGGCCTCTCTTTCTACATGCTGTCATCTCGCTCGCCCATACCCCCGTCATTCGCGTAAACAACGCCACGGTTTGAACTCGCGTCCACCATGTTTAAATTACTTTTTATTCTGTCCACTGTATTAGTGGTAGCGAATACCAAATCCATAACGGCAGGAACTGTGTTCGATTACAATGGACTAGTGAGAAAAGTGCACGAAAGAATCGTAGAGGCGACCGCTATACCCTTGATAAAGAGGGAGCAGGAGATTTTCTACGAGTATCCATTGGGAGACCAGAAGATTAAAGGGATCGCCATTCTGGACATGGAGAATGGACTGGCAGAACCCTCGATCACCCGAGGAGGGATCGGATTCAATTTCGTGAATATCAAGCTGAAAAGCGAGAGAGGGTCCGGACTTAAATACAAAATTGATATTTATGCGTGATGTGATTGATTGAAATTAAATTTTTTTAAAGAGTGTCGTTATTTATTTAAAAATGTGTTAAAGTCAGGCAAGTGATTTGAATTAAATGCGTTAGTTTTTACTATGTCAGGAAATCACGACGGAAACTTTAAAATAATTGTAAATAAGGATAATAATTTTGAATGTTTACCTACATCGAAAATAACCTTGAAATCGTTATGATTTTCAATACAATGAAGAAATGATGAAGATAATTTAAATTATAATAGTGTAACGTTCTGCAAGTGATATTTAAAAATACATTAAGTTACCTACTAAAGAAATAATCCTACTGCAATTATTAGATCTAGGTAGATCCTTGGTTTAGTGGTGGTTGGAGTGTTTGTCTCTCACGCAGAGGTTCTGGGTTCGATTTAATAAAACACTATTATACTACTAGTGCCATCTAGCTGTATTTGTATAGCCGTAAGTATCTTACATCATTCGGCCGTTTGGTGTAGTAGTTCAGAACGGACTACTATGCCGAGAGGTCCCGGGTTCGATTCCCGGCCGGGCAGAAATTGAATTGATGAATTTTAATTTCTGTGACGGGTCTGGGTGTTTACTATGTAGGTATATTAAGTATGTGTTTACAAAAAAAAAGTAGTTAAGTATGTTTATATCCGTGGTCTAGTACCCATAGTACAAGTTTTGCCTAGTTTGGGGTTTGCGGCGCAGTGTAAAATGTCCAAGGATTTATTTATTTATCATTTCTTTGCCATCAGTTAAAATAACAACCGAAATGAGAATCTCCTCATTCTGTTGAAGTCGGTTAAAAAGTCTGCCTCTTTTGAAAAACAAGTGCGAATTATTACAATACCTGAGATGACGATTGGACCAGATAATATGTACAGTGACTTACGTGTGAGTGAGTTACGTGCTTATCATTTAAAAAAACAAACCGTACAGTGGAAAGTGAGTCATTTCCACGAAGGCTAGTTAGTAAACAACGCTTATTAGAATTTATTAATAGTTATTTCTTCATGCCTACGTAAATTGTGGTATTATACTGTTCAATCAGCATTAAGTTTGCTTATAAATGTTGTGCAATATAAACATAAAAACTTCTAGGTTTAAATGACCCCGTTCGATCAAAAAGGTTTGTATGAAGCACCAACATAATATAGTAATTTAAAAATTCATAAATAAGTATTCAGTTATCCAAAAAAATTCTAATAAGTGGTCGGTCTGATCGGTCAATTAATGTAGAGAAGTGATATGGAAAAAAATTGAAATAAAATAAGTTAAAAACTTAAAAGTTTCATGCAAAATAATTGGAGAGTTGATCAACTTTATTGCTATGGAAATAAGGTCCAGTAATCCAGCGAAAAGAAAGTAGAGCGGCTGATAACATTGCATTTGCATCCTAACTATTTATTCCCTTAAGCTACTGATAAACTAAATTACTTCTGATACTATCACATATCATATCGATCTTATCACGTTTTTATCTAAGTCACATGTAGGTTAGCATCAAAACAGTGAACATCACTGTGTTTTCATACATTACGCATATCGGCCATCTTTTGTGTTCAAAATTTAAAAAATGTTCAAATTAATAACTTTTTATATCCTGGCCTATTTTCTGTGGTCAATAAAAAAAGTTAACGGCGAAGGTGTTTTACTAGGGACGCAATCAGAGACTGACCGGCTACTACATAAAAGTGTGCATCAAAAAATACCTTTTGTTATTCGGACATCGGACGTCGCGTTCCCTCAGTACTACGAAGAGCAGGACAACGTGATCACAGCTATAAAGGTCATAGACAATAATTTGGAAGATGAGGCTTCGGCGGAGGTGGATTTCGGCGGTGTTGGACACACTTACGCGAATATTCATTTAAGAAGTGCGCTGTGGGGAGGTTTTAACTACACTATAGAGATCTATGGTTTTAAATTAAAGTGACAGTGAATTTTTGTGTTTTATTTAGTGTTATTTTTAAACTATGCACAAATAACGCGATTAGATTTAAATGAAGTGCAGTCTTTCAGGCTTTCATCCAAATCCATCACATAATGAATCGAGTTCTAAGTGGTCGTATCGAATACCTACAAATCTTTACTTTCTCACTTTAAACTAGAATTTTACTGTCTCTACCTTCTTAATTGTGCTATTTAGCAACAAAAACCTACGTAAGTATACCTAGAGGTGTTGACTGTACATTACTTACGTGACACATCGAGTACGTGTAAATCAATCAGAGCGAAAATTAATCAATTGGGATTGTGAGTCATATTCATTGAAGTTAAATAGTGAATGAGTCAAAGTCAAAGACGTCAAAATAGTACTTACAGATCGTCAAAGTAAAAAGAAAAATAAAAGCCTTATAAAAAAATAAAGTTTAGCACTGAATCACCAACATTTTTGGCAAGTGCTGAGAAGGCGCCGCAACAAACTCAGCTGAGATAGGTAAGGTCTGGTAGACATGTATCACTCTAGAGAAACGAACCCACAACTCCCTAAAATACTTCACATAAACAATTAATTTTAATTTACAGTTAGCTGTGAAACAGACACAGTTGTTACAGAAATGTTGACCCTAGAAGTCACTTACCGTTTCACTAAATGCCACAATAAAATTCAGAAGACAAATCACCTTGATTCAAATAAAAATATTTATAGGCCCATTAAAAACTTGCACGCGAGTAAAATAAAAGCAGAATAATAAAATCTATTGCCACAGTTCTAGAATACATTTATACGATGATGGATGGCGAAGGAGAAAAACATAGAAGCTGAATTTTTCGTAATAAAAATGAGTTTTTCGTTCTTTTCCCTATATCACTTTCTCCGCTGATTTGGTTTTATTTGTTGTAGCGACATCTATCATATTTCATTTACATTGCAGTCAGCCATTTCATGAGTAATTAAGCATAATAACATTATTATCTATTTATCGTGCAAGTTCAGCGAGTTGATATCAGATGGCGTTCCAGTCCATAAATTCAACAACAAGCGGTATTGGCGGTCATATAGGTAGCTCTTTTATTTTAATAATAAATTTTTATATACTACTTTTTGCCCGCGGCTTGCCCTGCATGAAATTCAGTTTTTCACAGAACGGGCATAAGAGTATTATCGGTCATAATAGTTAACACTACCTGTTATGTGTTAGTGTTACCTGGGTCACTTAAAAATTAGGGATTGCTGGTGAAAAAGGGCATTAGACATACATCCTCCTTCTCAAACTTTCACATTTATAATATTTTTAGGATTAATTGATAAATTCTGGACACTTCTTCGTTTGTTCCGTTCACCTGTGGTCAAACGGATCGGATGGCGAACGCATAAAGAAGATAGGGCTGAGTTAGACCTGAGATACCCGTGATTTGTTGCAGTTTGGGCCCAGAGTGGTAATGATATAGAGCTGTTATTTGTCTATTGAAATTTTGTTGAAATTAAAATCACAAACCTTTAATGATGATGATTATTTTGTAAAGTATTTATTTTATTTTTATATGTAGGTAGAGTAGATAAAATAAAAATTACGACTTTACTTAACCAGATATAAATATTTTATTGTATGAATGAATTTACGTCACTATCAAGTTAAGTTAAAAAATATATTTAGGATTTATTTGGCGCATTAGTTAAATACGTGTAAATACCTAGATTTGGCTATTTTAGTCTAGTCTATTCTAGTTCCTTAATTAACAATATTGTTTTGTTTTGCAAATGCATGGTATCTATGTTATAAATAAAGCAAATACTAAGCTACATTATAAATAAGCCTAGGCACAGACCACCGACTTTTAGTTGGCCGATAGTTGAGTCACAATGCGCACATTGGATCGGACGATTCTTCATACAAATTATAATCGGGGCCAACTATCAGCCGACAAGTTTGTAGTCTGCGCCTAGGCTAAACCTACGTAATAATCGTTTTAAATAAATAATAAATAATCTTTTGATCTACTACGACCCAAATTTAAATTTAAATATCGAACACACTTCTCTATGCAGTTCCAACGACAATCCAATAATGTTTTTAATCTATGGCATCACGGTAAGGGCGAGAACATAATGCCCTATAATTGTGTTAATGAAGGCTTATACATATTAGACCCATCACCCCGTGGATACCGGTTCCCATAATAATCCCATTCAATTCGGTACCACCATGGTTTCCGGTGGGTTTGTAAGTGATTTCATTGGGTTAGTAATTAAATATAACAATCTTTTTTATTAATAAAAAAAACTTGAAAGTAAAAAGTAGTCCGCTACAAAAACTAATTTGTTACAAAAATTATAGGTCAGGTCTGTGAGGTTAATATGCATAATAATAGAGAATTTTTAGAAACTTTTGTAGTCTCTTATGTTTTTGTATTTCTTCCAAATGTGTAACAGCACAGAATAATAAAAAATTCCAGCTCAATAGAAAACCGGGAAGTGGGTCAATTTTAAGTTGCAAGATTTGACGACAGACACCAGACATGTGAAAGTAATAAAAAGCTTGTAATAATATGTACTGTAATAGACAATATCTATGCAGAGCTAGAGAAATAAATATATTTGATCATGAAAATGAAACCCGCCTTATCGATGGTTAAAACTTTAAATTATCTCCCCGGGTTCAATTCCCAAATGGGACACTCTAGTGACAACAAATTATCTTGGCTGTTAATTTTGGATTAATTTTAAAGATCAATTAAATCATCCAAATAACCAGTAGGTACAAAGAAAGGCCACCAATGCGTTAGCAGTTAAAATTCAGTGTTTAATAACATATTGCGCATTTTAAAGGACAATGTTTAGTCATGAGATTTAGGCTGGGTTGCACCATCTTACTTTAACTGAGATAAACGTCAAATATCTGTCAAACTCCATACAAAAAGCACCGGTTATCGTCATAGTTACGGTCAAATTTGGGTGGTGCAACTCAGCCTTATATGAGAGATAATAATAATAACAATATAATTAAGCATCAATAATAATAAAAATTCGGCGACATTTCCAAGTATCTTAGTATCGTCCAATCTTTAGATTAGTTACTACCAAAATTAAATTGGCGTTATCAATACGATAAGCACAGCACACTTTGTTTTTAATTAGTCTATAGCTCTAGTCTGATTGGTAATTAAAATTTAATTATTATGAATGGGACTCTACAAAAGGGCCTTTTATTAGTGCTGTGTGTGGCTTTTGGTAGTGCAGCCCTTAGTTCTTTGGTGAAAACCCACGAAAATGTGAAAAGTTTGAATTATTCTCAGCATTTTGAAAATGATACTATAAGTAAAGTGAACGCGAAGATCTACAAGACTGCCAATAAATATTACTGTAGCTTTCAGCCGGTTGAAAGTAAGTACTCCTTTCAAAATGTTTATTGCTTGTCACATGGAGGTATTGCCTTGATCACACGTACCGAGCAAACGGGCGAGTACTCGCTCGGTGTGTGTGAACATTACGCCGAGTGCTCGGCCGAGCGCTCGAGTATGTGACTCGCTCACCCAACTGTCTCGACCGAGTAAACATTTTACGGTCTTGCCCGTTTACTCGGTACGTGTGATCAAGGCTTTAAGTTGTTGCAATTCACGAAGGCGAGTGAGCTTTCTTTACGTGTGTGGTGGCTCGCTACTGTTCGTTTTTCAAAAGTTTTTATAAACATTACACTATCGGTATGTGCATGTACACGTACACACACAAATAAAGCTCACTCGTCTTCGTGAGTTGCATGCAAGTGAAGACTGAAATCTTATGTTAATATAATTAAAGGCGATTTTTCAATAGAAATTAGTATTATGATGTCCGACTGTGCGAGTTGCATGTACGTAATGTATCAAAACATTGAAGTAGGGTCAACAACAGACAACAGCACATGAAACTCTACATTTTTGTTGAAAAATAATCCTTATTACACTTAATAAGACGCTACTGTGTTTAGAATTATGTGCTCTCATCCGTACATAATACAATTTAGTGCAGTTTAAATAAAAAAATACCTCATGACGTCATTCGGTGCACTTTTTGATTAGAAGTGACGTTTTCAGTTCTGTGCACATTTTGTGGAATTGATCTTGAATTGATCAGTTGAAATGTACACTGTCCACTGCTTTTGGAAGTTTTTTCCTTAATGCTACTAAAACCATAAATTATTTTATTAGCTAATCTACGATACGTAGACGTGACGACAATTTTATCAAACGTTATCGCTAGATGATTTAAATTTTATTTGTTTATTATGGTGCCTTTGCCTATTTCATTGCAATTAGGCATTTGAATGTCTACAGATAAGGTCTATTATCTTTTCAGATCCAGAACTGATAATTTATGGCACAAAGTCATGGTCGTTCCCGAAGCAAGACATCAATTTGACGCTCTCGTACCCTACGAAGGTATGGCGGTCTTTTTTTAAAAGATTATTAGCAATTTGTATTGCACAAATTACTTATAGTCCCATTAGCCTCTCGTGTTAAGCTAAATGAGCTTGTGTTGCGAGTGGGCTCACCACAATAGTCGAGCGGCGGTAGGATTCGAACCCGCGTTCCTCGGATCTCGAGTCGGCCACTCCGACCCCTTCACCGTTCGGCTCATCATCATCATCATCATTTCAGCCACAGGACGTCCACTGCTGAACATAGGCCTCCCCCAATGACTTCCACATCGCACGGTTGGTAGCGGCCTGCATCCAGCGCCTTCCCGCTACCTTTATCAGGTCGTCGGTCCACCTTGCGGGTGGACGTCCCACGCTGCGTTTTCCGGTACGTGGCCTCCATTCCAGAACCTTGCTGCCCCATCGGCCGTCAGTTCTGCGTACTATGTGCCCTGCCCACTGCCACTTCAGCTTGCTGATCCGTCGGGCTATGTCAGCGACTTTAGTTCGTTTACGGACTCGTTCGTTCACCGTTCGGCTATCGTGGCTTTATTCTATTCTTTATTCTACCATCCATCTTTTGTAGCGCTGACAGATATTTTGCAGTCCATGGTCACTTGGTCACAACAGCTTACAAAACACTTTTTAGCAATTATTCTTAACATCAGCCGATATTTTGTCTCGGAGTGGTGGTAGAGAAAGATTTATGACGTGTATAAGTGCCATGAAAAGAGCCTGCTAATGAAGATTTATATTAAAAAATGTAATATATTTCAGAACGAGCCCACTCCCACCGGGGATCCAAAGAAGACGTACATCATCACAGGGTTCAACGTGATCCTCTTCGCAGATACCAACGAGTCGCAGGGGTTCATCACTAGCGGGGGGATCTTACAGGTAAGGGTTTCTTATATTGGCTTAACTTCTAGATGTAATAATGTATATTATCTACTATATAAAAAAAGTCGGGTTTTCCTTCCTGACGCTATAACTCCAGAACGCACGAACCGATTTCCACGGTTTTGCATTCGTTGGAAAGGTCTCGGGCTCCGTGAGGTTTATAGTAAAGAAAATTCAGGAAAATTTAACAAACGAAATTCCACGCGGGCGAAGCCCCGGCCGGAAAGCTAGTCTTATCTAAATATTATATAACTCAAAGGTGACTGACTGACTGACATAGTGATCTATCAACGCACTCCCCAAACCACTGGACGGATCGGGCTGAAATTTTTTTTTATCCACAACGAGAAAGCTCTTGGCCTGTATCTCACCTGATGATAAGTGATGATCAGGCCGAAGGTGGAAGCGAGCTTCATGCAGGTAGATCCTTATGACGTAGGCATCCGCTAAAAAGGATTTTACGAAACTCTACCCCTTAAGGGGGTAAAACGGGATCTGCGCGTACGAAGTCGCGGGCGGCCGCTAGTTCATTCATAAGTAGGTAAAATGTCTGAAGGCAGTGAAGCGTTTCGTTCTCCTCGTGGACACCTCATATCCTACATTTTCGACATAATTATGTGTCGAACCTTCAGTCGGTATGGTATGCCACATTTGTGTTAAATGTTGACAAATAACAATCGGTTATTTCAACACAATCGGGTATTTTCACAACAACACTTTTATTGAGCTGTCAAAACAAGATCCCCATGACATAATATGTATATTAACGTCTGTCTGGGTTGGAGGTGTGATTAGTACACCGACTTTCTACACCAAAGGTCAGCCAATATCAGTTTATTATAGGACTATAAACCTCCGACGACATCATAAAGGTAGCAGGAAGGCGCTGCACGCAGACCGCTACCAACCGGGCAGCATGGAAAGCATTGGGGGAGGCCTATGTTCAGCAGTGGACGTCCTATAGCTGAGATGATGGTGATGATGATGATGATGATGATGATAAAACCTCTCATAGGAGAGTCAAAGAGAACGATCTCCAGCCACTGCAAGATACTTTTATAAGATCTTTCATCCAATTGAGGAACGCCCTTTTCGATCTTAGCACGTGTCATGACATTAGAGACTGACGGGGCGAAATCTAAGCGCGTCTTCAGACAATCTAGAAAAATCAGTGACAGTATTTTTTCCAGGAGTCCATCAACCTAACCTTCGAATGCAGCGACGTCTCAATGCTGGTATACGAGTTCTGGCTGTACGGCATTCCCAAGGGCACACACAACGTTGAAGTGGCGTCTGCCAGCTTGCTCACTTCGCTCAACGACTTGTGTGCGCCGAACGAACTTTACTACAACTGATCATCTGCTAAATAAGACTTCTTTTAATTCTGAATTTATGGGTCTAGATTGAAAACTTATAAAAAAATCATTTATTTTTGCAAATAGGCTTTTAAAAAGCACTTTTACACGTCCCAGTATTAACCCTACCACTGCTTCGGGATAATAAATGGGCCAGAGCTGAGAAGAAACAGCGCAAGAAACTCAGTCATTATTGGCAGCCTCCTTTTCAGGGGCTTATATACAGTCTTTAAAATATAAAAATTATAGTCATAAGACGTATTGATGCGAGCTATGTAGTTGAACATTCCAAACATTTTTATCTTTGATGTAGGTAATCATCAATTTTATAGTAAGCTTAACCCTTTTTCATTAAGGTTGAGACGTGAGAATAGTTGTTACAGCTCACATACTTTAAATGAGAAGAAAATTCTTTTGAGGTGTTGTCAATAAAGGTATTACAAATTCATTAGCTAACTAAGCTTTTCAACGGTGACTTTAAAAGCTTGCTGTCAGTGTATTACGATGTTAGGAATTGTAAGTAAATAAAAATTTGAAATCTCTCTTTTGTTTGTATAAATAAATCATGAACGTCTCAATGTGATGATCTCAACAAAAATCCATCAGTAAGTAATGTTATAAAAATAACTAAATTTATTTACATAGGAACTGACTCAATATTTGCGTTGGGTTTGATTTCCAGTCTTAAATTATACAGGAGGAATAAAACATTTATTATATTCAGTAACATAAATAACGTCATATCTATTAAAGAAGTTCCTAATAATAACTACTGGGCAATAACACACTCGTAGATTTCTACTTTTTGATTGGAAATGGACACATAATCCTGTGATATCACATTCTCATAACATTGAGGCTGTTATACAGATAGTTATTGGTTTTATGGCCGGTCTAGACGGAGACTCAGGTGCAATAAAATCGAGGAAAGACGCGGGATATCATTATAGGACATCGGATTGGATGAGGAATTCTTTATGAGATGTTATAGTTTGGTAGTTTCGATTCCATCCAATCTTTGCTAATCGTGGCGATTTTGGTGTGGCGACTAAACTGAATTAGAAATGAAGAGAGACAGACAGCCTGAACAACTTTCATCTAATAGCCTATATAGGGGAAAGTAGTACGAGTTGATCCCCTGGGGTAAGATGATCTTTCGCGATTGTGCTGAAACCACTAACGTCATTTAGTTTCTTTCACTGGTAAAACATAGCTCTGGACACATCCCCGCCTCAGTCAAATCGTAATGGTGGCGTGAGCGATACATCGAATTTGACGAGAAAAAAGAAAAATTGTGTACTTCTGATCTAAAATAGGCATGACTTTGAGCTTATGTTACTTTTATTCAAACAATGTTAAATGTAATTACTGTTGTCGTTAGGCTTTCTATTATGTTTAATTTTAATATTTTGGCTATAAAAACGTAGCCGCGTACTTTTAGATTATTTTAGCAAATATTTAACAAAAAGTGGGACTTGGGTCAAGATGATCCCTTCCTATATGTACGAGATGATCCCTGGGAATTAAAACAAAAAGTCAATGGAGTAGGTAAAGGGAAGTGAAATAAAAGAAAGATAACTTCATATAACTCACCTGAGTCTGAAGGAGATGATTCTGAGTGGCTGTACTGAACAGAAAAGTTTTCAAGCGATACCAAGGGTGAAGGATGGATAAAATGTTATGCATGTGGAAAATGGGGCCATAAAGCATGTGCTGGGGTAGAGGGTGATGAAGCAGGTGAATTTATTTGTGATATATTCAACACACCTCCAGCAAAAAAGCGTTTCAATTATTTAAACGCTTTTTAGCAGGTACTAAGAAAGAATCGGTTATTTTCATTATTTAATTGGTAAATGTTTTTCTTTTCTAACTCTTTAACGATTTGTTCGCATAATTAGGTTCTCCGAAAGTAATATAACCAGAAAAGAATAGATCATAGAACAGAATCATAGGGATCATCTTACCCCTACCTGGGGGATCATCTTACCCACAGGGGTGTACAAGATGATCACTTTGTAAGGTTTTGCAAAAAATGAAATATTTTAATGAAACCTCAATTAATTTCTGGTTTTGAGTATAAGGAAAGTTGGATAGATAAATATACTAGTAGTAATCGTCTTTATTTTTGGTTTACCTTGAAACATATGTATTTTACAGCGATTCCCGCTTAAGGGGATCATCTCGTACTACTTTCCCCTAGTTTTGTTCTATTTAGCCCACAGGTTGACGGGGAATTAATGCTTGGTATTATGTGCGTCTTATAGTAGTCTAGTATTGTGCTGTAATTCTTCATACAAAACAAGGACACGCTTCACAAGTGAAAATAGAGGGGCAGGATCTGAAAACGTAGTGTAGGCTGCCTAGCCTTGTGGGAGTTGTCCACCAAGTGGGAGGTCTGCCTAGGCCTCCCACTTGGTGGATCTCTAAGATCTGGTAAAGGTCGCGGGAAGCACCTGGATGTGGGCAGCGCAGGACCGGTAATGAAAATCCGTAGAGGAGGCTTTTCAGAACATATTTTTTTAGTCGAAACGTACGAATAGTGAGTATAAAACGAGACTATTCCCACAACTCCTGTGTAGCCCAAGATCTACAGCTTGGCCGCCAATTATAACCCAACCAGTGATGGTCAAGTTTGTCCCGGGGGAAAGTTAAGCTGTCATTGGACCTGCAACGAACTTAATCAGAAGAACATAGGAGTTCGAAGTAAGTAAGGTTACACTTCCCTCCAGAATAGTGAGTATACTTACAACCAGCTGGCGTTTGAAGTTACTGCGACCTTGTCTCCAGCCACCCACACCAGCACCGCCAGCAGCACCAGAAACCGGAATACGCCGGACGCCATCTTGTCAATGCGGCGGGCATAAAATGGCGGCTTCCATCTTCGCACTTTTGTTTTAACTTTCGTAGTTGTTGTCAATAAGGTGGACGAGAAGTGGCACTCATGTTGTATTTAAAAATCACATGGTTTTGGCCCTTCATGACATATTTTTAATTGTTTCTTCACTTATACTGTCACTGTTAGGCCATTTTATTTGCGAGGTGCTTACAATTAACAATTCCTAACTACAGCTAATGTTTACATTAAAAAAGTGATCAATCTATAAGATAAAATTCACGCTAAGTTTCAAAGAACGCTTTATGTTTGTGTCACGAGTGGATCCACCATAGAATCAAACTTAATTATGAAATAACTTTTGATGAAATTAGTACCTACTTGCTGCTGTTTTTTTGCGAATTTATAGTGGCATCAACTACACTATTGTCTCTTAAAAGGTACACAATTTAGTGTACAAACAGCCTTACTCCTGTTCGTGAGCCCTAAGCCGGCTCACACGGGCGTTTGCCTCGCAAGCCTTCAACAATATTGCCTTACGTCGGATTTTGTTGTAAATTAGATTCTGTGGAAAAATGTAAGCGATACCTTTATTGTGGGCTAGAAAAATAACAATACGTTGAACTTTGTAGCTTTGTCAGGTTGTTTACCTGAAGTAGATATTAATATTATGAAAAATAAACGTCAATTCACAAAGGTACTAATTCGTTTCAGCCGAAAGACGTCCACTGCTGGACAAAGGTCTCCCCCAAGGATTTCCTCAAAGGTATTAATACTTATTCAGAAACTTAACAAACTTTAAATCCCAAATTGCTATGTTTTCTTTGGAGGCCTATGTTCAGCAGTGGACGTCCTGTGGCTGAAATGATGATGATGATGAAGTATGTTTTTACTTGCAAAATATTTAGAAATGCAAAGTTTACAACAATTTGTGTAGGTAAGTACATGTAGTTTCCTCGTGGTCTAAATAATTCATAGCAAAGTATCGTTATGTTGACATCACTATGTTTTTTGAGCAGTTCAAAGTCAAAGCTTTTTTAAGTACTTAGGTTTTATTCAGTATTTAGGCGCTTAAACATGAGTTATTTTATTATTATGTACTAAAGACAAAACTGGGACGTCCACCCACAAGGTGGACTGACGACATCATAAAGGTAGCAGGAAAGCGCTGGACGCAGGCCGCTACCAACCGGGCAACATGGAAAGCATTGGGGGAGGCCTATGTTCAGCAGTGGACGTCCTATGGCTGAGATGATGATCATGATGATGAAAGACAAAACTAAAACCAACCTAGTTTTATTCAAATGGCGTGTTTTCTATAGACAAAGGTTTATATGTCTAAGTATCTATGCCTTTAACCTCTATTCATGACACGGGACTTATAGCGTATTATTCAGTTCCTGGAAAATCTGGTAGGTATCAATTTCATAGGAAACTGCTAATGATAATAATAATATAATTAATTAGTGGAATATTCCCATCGAGATACGGGAAGTCCAATAATTAACAGGATTCGACCCAGTATAATGTTTGATAGAGATTATTCGACAAAACAATGTGTTCTAATAACATTGCTCGCATGTAGAGTTTTAACTGGTGCATGTTAATGTATTTAGTTGTGTACTCGTAAATAAGTTGTAGGTATGTAATACTATGATTTATTTAAAATACAAGCTGTTACTATTTTGGTCAATTACCTTTTTTTAATTCGCGGTATTAACTCTACCACATGATTTTGTATCTTTGATTTTACAAACTTAAATTTTAAGATGACTGAATCAAACACCGCAATAAGCAACCTTTATGTGAGTTTTAGGATATATTTTAGAAGATGAGACATTGACACCTTTTAACAAAGTTGTAAGAGTTTAAAATATTTTATGATTTCCAAAAATGTTTAGTTACCTAGAGAACATTTTAAAGTCTTTAAATAAGTATGTATGTAGAATGAGTACCTACAATAATTTCAATTTCAAACTATTCTAGACATTTTCAACCGGCATCTTCATCAAAATGAAACCCAGCGTGAATTCAAAAACAAATAAAAGCAAAATGCAAATAAACCTCGTGTTGTGAAATCACAGTTAAATGTACACGGCATCCTACAAAAGTATTTTACGCATTCCACTATAATAATAAAAGAAACAAAAAAGTTCGCACTGGTCTCTTAACCTTGCTACACATGACTTAAACTTCACTTGAAATCACTTATACCACTTAATTATTGCTCTATTTTGACACAAAATAGTTTTCACTTAGAATATTTTACGAAAAATCGGTTTAAGTTACGATTAAGTTAGGGTTAAGTGGAGGCAAACGTGTGCCTTTCACCGGGCATGGGAACAGACTGGCTTACGTCTGGCTCTGAGGCTCTGGCGGCCTACTTGGGTATAACTTACTTAGTCGGCTAAGCTAGGTTTGCTAGCACGAGATTTGAGTCCGACATTGCGAAGTACAAAAAGTTCGACAGGTTTTGAGCTTTAATTGTTGGCTTGATGGCGACTTCATCTAAGGATCAACATTGATAGAAATGTAGTGCCCACTTCAGTATTTACTTTAAAAAGGTCGTGTGAATTTGAATTTGAATTTGTGTTATCTAATATTGTAAACATTTAGTTGCAAAACTATCTAGTTCATTGAAGTGTCATTCTTATTATGAAGTTTTATTGAACTCTAAAATAGTTAATCGTAATGGTTTTTGTACAGATTACAAATACGAATTATGAATACACATACAAAAAAGAGAGTCAAGTGACAAAAAAGCAGAAATAATTTAATTATCTTTGAATATTAATTATTTAAACGAGGTCACTTGCAAAGTTTACATTACGATTAAGTTGTAACCTGTTACTCCGGATTTCTATCTATGGAACTATTAATTTGTTTAATTGATATTATTTTATAATTAGATGCTTAATTATTTTGGAAGGCCAAATTTAAAAGGAGAAGCATGTTCTAATAATAAAAAAAATACGTCCATTTCTTCATTCGATAAAATCCTACTTTGGTGAATGTTTTCTTTCTAGTTTTTATATCCTATTTACTGTGTCGTACCATCTCTAGCACTGTCTAGCAGTGTCTCTACTTTCTATTAACTAAGTCACTTTTTGTAGTACCTGTGCAAGACTCATTTTTATGGTTGCCACATAGGTTGGTTGGTTTGCGAGCTTGGCTATAGGGCCAGCGGGTGTGGGTTCGAATCCCGTATGTTGACGGCAGGCGGGATGTTTAAGGCAAATAAAACACGAACAATAATGTAAGAAGTTTTCTCATTGTGATTGATTTAGCCACTGATAATTTTCTTGAGATTTTGACACAATCAACCAAAAAGTTTTACCAACCAAAAATGTGAAAACTAAGTTTGTCATATAATTTCAGGATTTTAAAAATCTACAATTTAAGCATCTTTTCTAACTGATAGATTGTAATTAAATAATTCTATGAGTTCGTACTTACTTAGGGCCTAGGTTTATTAATTCAAAATTACAATGTCGTCATTCCAAGCCAAGCCAAAGCTAAATCTCGTCAAGTGATCATTTACTAGTGATTATTATTCATAAATGCGCACTCCACTGTGTCTAATTGCCGGTTCCTGCTGTCTCTGAGGGTGTGTCTATGGTTTTATTCTTGTTGAGATGCCTTGAGAGTTGAGACTATGGCTGTTTTTTAAAGGGTTAAGGGATTAGTCATAACCGTATCGTGTGCCCTGTACGGCTAGCTCGAAAAACTTTCGATTTCGAATCGTTTGCGTATTCGAATCGCCATCAAAAGATTTAGTACGATAACTACAACAGCGCCCTTGTGAACGTGTCGTAATGTGAACTTAGTATGAGAAATGGTTGCACTGAGGGTTGCACGAAACTTATTTTGAGAATCAAAATTGTCACGTTATCGTTTAATTCGAAGGCTGAGTATCGAATTTCGTCGATTAAGGACACGATTCGAAGACGAAAGTTGTTCAATGCTAGAGGTACTGTACCATATTACTTAATCTGGTGGCTGCGTTCAGGTGCCACAATTGAAGAAACAATGCAGCGTTGATGTGATTCGTTGCATAGAAAATTACACAATTTTATGGGGCGCCTAATTTTCTGGGCGAGCACCTTAGACGCCTGTTATGACTAGTTCCTAAAAATTAGACGGATGTCTGTAAGCAAGTCTCTAATACACTATTTAATTCTCATTCGAGTTCGGTACACTTTGATCAGAATCAAAAATATTTTATTCAATTTCATGATGATGATGATCATGGCTTGATCAACCTTACACCCGCCATACACGGACAGCTTGAAGCAGCTAGTATTCGACAGCTTTCAATCTGCGACTGCATAGCAAACTACGGAAGCAACTGCTTCCGTAGTTTGCTATGCAGTCGAAGCTTGAAGCTATCGTCACTAACTGCTTCAAGCTGTCCATGTATGACAGGCCTTTGAGTGATTAAAATGACTTCGTAATAAAACCTACTATTACAAAAATAAGAGACATCATAAAAAATCAACATCATAAAAAACAGAATTTAGATTATTATTTATCAGTCTCAAAGGGCCAAGATTTTCATTGATACTTTGACCTGGATTAAGCAGCAATGTCCAATCACATTCTCAAAATACCTAAACAAAACTAAATAACCTGTTGTACCTCAACAGGTTATTTAGTTTTGTTCAAAATCCATAGAAGATATCAAATTATCTAGAACTCATAAACACCATCGAGGCTATCTCTAATTAAATCAACTAACGCTTATCTGGTGAACCTGGTTGTTAATCAATGGTGATCGTGACTCTTAATAGGGAATGCGCGAACGCAACAAAACGCTAAAACATGGGTAAAATGATGGTAAAAAGTTATAAAATGTAGCAAAAAATTAAGTAGTTTAAAAGTTAGCTGACACCATTATCTAATGAAACCTAGGAACAATTTCGATAAAAAATAGACTTCCATTTATGTTAAAACTGCGTCAGATATGAAGCTAACTAGTTTAGTTCAGCTTTTGGGTTTGCAATCGGCATTTGTGTCATTAGCTCCTTAGGCTGGGTTGCACCATCTCACTTTGACGAACGTCAAAAATCTGTCAAACTCCATACAAAATACACTGGTTATCGTTATAGTCACGGTTCAAGTTAGGTGATACAACTCAGTCTACGACACGTTGTTTCGAGTATACATTTTGGATACTGACTTATCTGATACTAAGGCCCGGTTTTTTTAATTGGGATTTTTACTTTTCATATTAATGCTGAGTTGCACCACCTAACTTTAACCGTAGCTATAACGATAACCGGTGCTTTTTGTATGGAGTTTTACAGATTTTTGACGTTTGTTAAGGTCAAAATAATATGGAGCAAATCGGCCTAAGAATTCAGAAACAGAGTAACTCAAATTGCGTTGTGCTCAGTTTACATCGTAATTGTTTTGTACCTTGGACGAATAGTGTTTGTACACACTAATTCTTCGTCGCAGACTGACAAGCAGATTATTTGCATTAGATATCGCGTGTTATCCAGCCATTAGGTCCAGCTTCGTTAGGGTCGGACTTAGATAGATCGCACTGGTTGAGACTTAGTGTTGACTAATGCGCGTGAGTTGAAATTAACGCAATATGGCTTGTGGAATTTAAAACTGGCCCAACACCTTGAGGTAGACGCTGATAACGGTCATCTATTATAATCGTCATTTGCTAAGATTTAAAAATGTGTAGATCATGGGTGTAGATCAGTATTTTCTGATTTAAATTTAGGAAGTAAAAAAGCTCCCCTTACCTATTACTGCTACTGCCTACTCTATACTTGGCATTGGCCTACATACATACTTACTCTACATATTTTTCTGGCGTCAGCCTTACCTGAAACTACAATCATCATGACCATCATCATTTAGTCTCCACAGCATATAAGCACGATCCTCTCCAATCCCTAAAATGAAGGATTGATCTACACTCCCCACGCTGGCCAGACGTGGTAAACTCGATTATTAAAGGATAATAAATATGGAGTAAAAGAGACACTTGAGAAAATCAATGGCTGCCTACTAACATACTATTAAATAGATAAGTAGGTACAACAACTTGTTGACTAGTTTGTGACTCTCGGTGAGGGCCGTGGAGAGCCCTCGAGTGCTTACGTTGGGCTTAGTCTCTAATCTCTATATTACTACAGTCTGTTTGTTTGTCCACTCGTCTTTAGACAAACATGCTATATTTATTATGTTATCAACGCAAACTCATGCTATAAACTTACAAGTCAAATAACGGTGTATTAGGCACGGTTTTCGCGTGGTGTGGAGACGAGAGATGTGCAGCGAAGCTGGCAGGCTATTTCCACCAATGTGGACTGGTGGCGTCCCCCTGTCAATGAGTTTGGTGGTGGGACAGTAAAATTTAGTTCATCTATATCTATGAAACACCGCACAGTTCTGCAAATCTCCGCAACCGCTCCGCTCTTCTCCGCTCTCAAATAGAAAAACAAGTGCGCCCGACACTTTGCCGCTCGATGCATTTTCACTAAAACGGAACAGAGTGGAAATCTGCAAATAATGGAATGTGATTGGTTATTCAAAAAACTTTTCTGCTCCGCTTCGCACTTGGTGGAAACCGAGCCTTAACTGGCCACCGGGCAAGTTATTGCTTAGGACTAGTTTTTCAATTTACATTAAGTACGTTTTCAAAGTTACCAGCTAGATTTACGGTTTTCTTCTAACCGCAACATGTTTGCTAGTTAACCACACACTTGTGGCTTAGCCGTGGGGTAGAAGTTATGCTGCCGGACCGGTAGGTATGCATGGCATTTTCCAGAAGATACAATTTTTTTTAAGTAAATAAGATTTAAAAAACTCAGTGACCTATATAGAGAAAATGTTAGTCTCTAGTAGTCTCTACATTCGCTGAAGACAATATTTAAAGCTTTACTTAATTAAATAAAGCTGAAATTGGCTTACAATCTTACGCATGTAAGAGATTTTTCTCTAGTAAGCGAGTAGAGAAAGCATTTTCTCTGGTAAACTAAGAGATACTATGTTTAAGGACACTGCTACTTGTGCTGCTACTGCATACCTACTTCACTTACTTAAACAATATAACTATGGTGTTAGTCAAGGTGTATATTGAAGGCGACTATTGTCACTACTACAAATGATGGTGCACTTGGTTGCACTAACTTAGATTATTGAATTGGCGAGAACAAAGGAAAACTTCAGGCATTAAAACAAAAATAAATTAATAACTTTTAAAAAAATTTAGGGTTGAAAGTTGCATTTCAAGATTATTAAATAATCTTTATAAAAAGAACCCTAAAAAGCTCTAATAACCTAATGTAAGAAGGTGTAAAAGCGCCAT